ATGAAGAAAGGAAGCGAGAGAGAATAGAAGATTTCGAGAATTTTGCAAGGTATTCTTCAAAACCATCCACTTTGACGTAGCTTTGCTTCCATATAAGGATAGGCGAACATGTTTGGCTGCCATCATTGAGTATAGCCTATACTTCAGAGATTCTTTTACGGTTAAAGAGAATCCGAGTTATTTTGGCTGCACAGAAATTTTTACGAGCAAATGAAAAGTTCATTATTTGAGCCCTTCCGCGCTCGCAAGTAGGTTAACTTTCTGATATTTGATTTTTTCTTGCTGTCGCGAACGAAGAAAGCTAACTGGCCGATGGTCTCCGCTCGCTCTTTACTCTTTCATATGCATTATTGAGTGGGTAGAGCCCATTACACCCTGAATCATTACAAAGTAATACATATTTAACTTTACAAATATGCGGGAATTCTCTTCATAGAAGCTTTTTCTCGAGCATGACTGATTGTGGCATTTCGGCTTCGGGCTTGGAGTATTATCACTAAGAGGACGTTTTATGAAGCGTTAGTGAGCACTAGAAAAAGCTAGAAAAGTGCTTTCAGATGATATTCATATCTCTGCAATAAGTACAAAACTCCAAGAAATTAGTTGCGTTGAAACAAGGCAATTAGATATCGGACAGAACTTTCGGAACAACCTAGAATCTGCTGTTCTAATGTCGCGGACTATTGTGCATAGATTAAAAATTCCGGTGCGGTAACAGAGAAAATCCTGAGCTTGCTTTATACTGCTATCAATGAAACTCCCAAATCTTCGACTGGAGCTCGATTGACCAAACTACTTAGCAGTATTCTCAGAGAATATCCTGATCACTTACAATTTGAAATGCAAAGTTTTGCAACGTTGGTAGTGATGTAGTCAGCGCGCAAAAATTAGAACATTCATGCTATAATTTGTAGTGCGCTGGCTGGGACATCCTTGTCAGTGTGTAAACCATCACATAGAACACCTGGTAATCCATAATACCAAACATTGCTTGAGTTAGGAATTTCATACAATTGCCCTTATCACGTACAACAGGGAGATTAACAGAACCGGGAGAAGCGCGGAAGAAATGGATGGACATCACGATCCCTTTTTAGCCTTATCGCACACCGGCTCCGGGTCGGGAGTCACATCGCGCGCTGCCGCCTCTCGCCGTGCCCAAATTTTGTGCCTCACAAAAACTCTCCTGTGCTGAAGTGGCACGGCGGCACAGTAAGGGGGTGAGGGGTGGCGGCAGATAATACATGACTCGAAGGCATAAGTAACATTGCGGCAGGAGTTAACGGGAGTTGAGGCTTGTACTGCTTGACGTCGCCGACATCGCTTCGCGAAAAACCGTGACTCCTGCCCATACCCTCGCATACCCTCTGATAAACCAATCATAATGCACAAATAACATGCTGCCCCTCACAGTTTTCGCTTTTACATGACTTGAGCCATACTTAGGCCCAAGCCTACTGATATCTCCGCCGATCTAAGGTTACGGCGGAAGCACCATTGTTCAGAAATGAAGTTACAATCGATTTCAGTGTCAGTCGTATCATAATTCAGATGATCCATGTGCCTGTCAGCAACTTTTTGTCCATTAGCTCTTCCTGTCTTCTTTTTCTTAAATCTTCCTCTTTTGCTGAAACCTCAAGACTTCCTTGAGAATGCTGGTGTCAGGGGCACCGAGAAAGCCGCACTGCAAGTATAGCCTCCAAGCCCCACACTGTTGGAAAACAGGTTCAAAACTTCCTTTGCGTAGCTGTCATTTCTTGTGGTCATATAGTTTTGGTTTCGAATTTTCTTTGTGTCAGAACAATTTGATGATAGGTTTGGTCCGGGAATAGTCATATACTGTTATGCAGGCCTTGAAATGCACTTACCAGTGTTTCATATCAGCGAAACGGTCACCATTCGAAATCGTGCTTTGATATGAGTCATTTTTCGCTTTTTGACATGTTTCCCCTCGCCTACTGCTTCTGAGTGGTTATATACTGGAGTTCTCGCAGAGTGACATGGCTCGACTTCCGACACCAGCAAAACTTAAAGGGATGTCCGGGCAGAAAGTCGAATTTGATTTTATGCTAACCCGGACCTATTCGCTATGCTGAGTCCAAAAATCCACACTGGAGAGCTCGAAAACGGCGAATTAGGGCTCTAACACAGGAGGGAAAACGTAGGTGGGCGGGGTCTCCCCCAAAGTGGATTCACGCTTTCAGCCTTTGGAGAGATCTCGGTTCCTTTTAAATCACGAATTCGCACTTGGCCGGTGGCAATGTCTAGCGGCTAACGGAATCGAGAAGATCGTTCCGGAAGACAGCAGATTTTACAGTCGTTGCACCGTTTGCTAAGTACGCGCCGCCCCTAACACTATTCGTGGCGGGACCAAGTCATCTTTCAACACTTAGCGAAAGCGACTCATCATGGTATGCATTATCTGAGAAAAGGATGGGTTCTATCGGACACTGCTTGCGTCTTTGAAAGGGATGGCTCAGCTTTAGCAAGCAACGTTTGGCTGTGCGTTTTTATGGAAACAGCCAGACTTACTCTTAGTTTCGGTTGTAAACCAACGCTCTTGTCTTTTACTAATGGGGTGAACGAGGTGTCAACGTTGGGTAGGGGACTATATGTCGCCGAAAAGGGGCGGTCCTCGCGGTCATTTGCGACAAATGCGCACCCTTGTATATGCGCGGACATGCGTTCCTGCAGGGAATCCGCGCAGCACTCTTCCAAATTCGGCGACATATAGTCCTCCACCCGTCAACGTTACTCAGACACTCGTACCGGCCGGCGACCGCGCGACGACCGTCTGGAACAACACCGATATTTCGGCCGGGCCGGTCGACGGACGGACGCCAGCCGGTCAGACATTCGCACCGGCTGGCGACCGGGCGATGGCCGTCTGGCGAGACATCTCACCCGTTCGTGCGCGCTCGCAAGCCGGTCATGAAATGGTCTTCGGCCGGAAATGGCTAGAGCGCCAGCCGGTAAAAAGAACGTGTGCGGCAAGTCGACATCGAAGCACGATATACTGTTAGGTTCTGCCCATCAAATTGAATGCTACAGCGCTTTCGCGCTCTAGGCTACCCAGTCAGTTGTGGAGCATACTTTTTGCTTATTCATTCCCTTATTTTCATGTTTTCTTTTTGATCGTTCTGTCTGTTCACCAAATTTCTCAAATTTAAAGGATGATATTTTCATTTGAATCAGAGTCGAAGCAGTATATGCAATTAACATGCAACAGTTATGAGAAATACAACATCCTGGCCATCTAAATCATACAAAATGAACAAAGCAGTGGAACAAATTGAATGCGCAATGCGCATTGACATCACTTCACAAGTTCATCGAGTCCACCTATATGATGAGATCAAATGTGGAATCGTGCGAGTGAGGCAAGATAGGAATCATTTGGAATGAGGCAACATAGAATGAGGCATGCCTGCTAACGGTCATATAGCCCGGTTCTCTTGGACAAAAAAGCCCAGAATGGTTTTTCTTTGGCTCAAGGCATATCGCGGTCGAAGTTTCGTGAAAGTGTGCTTTATACCGAAATTCAACATGAACACGTCTATATAAAATCACACTACATGTGAACATATTGCGTGCGTGATTTGAAAATTCATCCGCTGGCTGTTTCTGCGTTTACATCAAGCCAGAAAACAATAGCTGAAGTATGCACTTAAACGCTTGACGTTAGACAGGCATGTCAAAAAGTGAGTGAGCTTAACATCTATGGAACTTCTTACGATTAGCAAAAACAATAGAGAGACTCAAACTTTTACATTCGCGCTCTCTAAAAACAAAAGCAAGACTGAGGACAAAAATGAATAGAGTTTCAAACATATATGTAAGCAAGTATTTAAGCGTAGAATCAAGTCCAAAAATGATCTGCTCACGAATTGCTAGAGTGCGAATCAATCTTCCTCTGGCGGCATGTTTTCGTCGCCTGGTATGTCTTCTGATGGTGTTTTCCTGTTGATCAAACGTCCACTGGGGGGTGGAGGACATTAGGTCGCCGAATTTGGAAGAGTCCCGCGCGGATTCCCTGCAGGAACGCATGTCCGCGCATGTACAAGGGTACGTATTTGTCTCAAATGACCGCGGAGACCGCCCTTTTTCGGCGACCTAATGTCCCCCACCCGTCCACTGGCCTTGCGCTAAACGAGTGGCATTACTTTCGATGCGGAACCTAATGAAAACTCACTGTTAGGGATGAAGCATTGCTTTTCGTGATCGAAAATTTGTAGTTTCTTATATCGCGCCTGAATTAATTGGCTATGCATTTTTCGTAACAGCAATGCAAGAAATACTTACAAAGCAACTTGAAGAGCTCTGAAGATGTATGGGCGATAAAGCATCCGCTGTTGGCATGCTTCGCCATATGTTGCGCGTTCACATCCTAGGAGATTTTCCACGAAATCTGCAATTAAGAATTAGACTCCCCCACATGCAACTACTAGGCGACTCGCCCGTGAGCATATTTTCTACCACACGTGGTTAAACTTTGGAGACTTTTATTTCGTCCGCTCTTTTCAGTTTCTCGTATCGCCTACTCCTGTATGCGATATGGCGGGTCGGTTATCTAAATAAAGTACTCAAGAGCGAAAAAGTAGTGTTATTATCGAGCCGACCTTTTGAAGGATGTGTCGATACAAAGCGGCAAATCGTTGAAATAATGTCTTTGGCTCCTTTCCGGCTTCCAAGTGTCCCACAACCAGATCGTTGGGGTTAACCTTAACATTGACATCCGAATTAACTCTTCTGTGAAAGATACCTCAATAGAAGGAGGTGGTCCCGTGAGTATCCAATCTTTTTTGCAGTTGATCAGAGAAATTCCGGCGTTCTCGGGCGTCTCTCCAGTGTTGCGAATCTCCATCTGTCGCTTCATTTTCTCTACTTTTGCGGTCGTTGTGTCAGCCTAGGCTATAGCTGGATAATTGAAGATTTCGAAAAGAAACATGGCATCACCTGCAATTGGTGCGCAATCAATCTTCAAATTTCTTTCTGTCGACTCAGTCAGGCCCTCCGATGAGTAACTCACGATTCTCGATGCCGTTTTCGAATTCACGAACTCCTAAATAAAAGCGCTAATTAAAAGAAGTACACTTTTGGAAGCTTACCTGATAGGTGACTATATTAAATTACTGCACTGTTTCTGCTGGAAAATCAGCTCGGCCGCAGCTTTTAGGTCGAGAATGCCTGCTGTAATACACGCGTAAAAGGTCTCCCTTTGTGAAAGTGACAGGGGACGGCGCGGTGTCTCGACGTGGAATTCAGGACGATAGTAGATATTTCCTATAACATGAAGATGTGGTTGTTTCATGAAAGTAGGACAAAAAAGCACTCACTTTTGGAGCTTCATGTTCTTCGCCTATTGGAGAGACATTTTCTTCTTGATAAATGTTTCCTCTTGAGTTGCAGCTGCAATTGAAAAATTACAAAGTTATCACGCTTGAAAAGGCAGTGAAGTGTTTGAATACCGATCGTGGAGAGGTGGACTTGCTCTTGTCGCATTGACGCTCTTTTTGGGGACGTACACCTTAGCGCGAGTCGAAGATGAAGCTTTTGGTGTATTGTACATGAATGACTGGAAGTGACTTGACTTTCCAACTACAATTCCGAAGAAAAAAGTAATAGCGCTTTCGATATGACACGCGAAACGTATATGGAAAACATATGTGAACCAAAAGTAGAGGACATCTTCATTACTGAAACGATAGTAACACAATGAAAAGAGAATGCTCAAGGTACTGTGTACTTTACTTACTGTAAAGCGCCAACGTCAAGCACAAGAGGGGTAAGATCTATTTGCGAGATCCGCCAAGGTGGCTGGGCCGGATATCAGCCTTACTGGCCTTATCCTAACCCGTTTTTCCTAAAAAAGTGTTGTTCTCACTTATCAATCGTAAGAGTTCCAGTGCTGTTCGTCTGCAAGGGTGGGGATTGTGGTTCACCAGGTTGCTCAGGTGTGTCGGATCAACGGACGTGAATTCTTCTACAAGCACTCTGACCGATCTACTCATTCTGTTGTAGAGAAATAACAGTATCGGTCCGAAATGGTCAAGGTCTTCGTCGCCTTCACGCTCATACAGATGCACCACGTCTTGGCGGGTGGCACGCGGGACTTTCCAATAAACGCGCGATGAGTATACTCTTTCGCCAATAAAGAGCCTGGAGCTGAAATTGAGGACATTACCGTGTATGTTCTATGCTCAAACACTTACAAGGGTTGCTCATGCGTCTGTGTTATGCGAATCCTATGTTGTTGCAGACAACTATCCTCTATTTTGCATCGTTTGGGAATATATATCCATCATCAATTGGTATTCCAATCGGAAACCTTGAACCAACCAACCAATCATGAAAATCTTCGGGATAAAAGATTTTATGCTGGCACTTCTCCTTTCTTAGCAATCTCCGCCCATTCACCACCCTTTTACAAGCAGCTTGTCGTGCTCCATTGGAGGATCTTAAATGACCACAACCTCAAGCTGCTTCAGCTAATGTAAACTAGGCGAGTAGCACCCCCGCTATTTTACCACTGCCTCAATAGTGGGTCAGTGAAAAATCCATTGCCGTTCGTTGAATCAACGCTTTAGAGGAGTATAGACAATGAGCTTTAGATCGCTTACTTTCGTCTATGTGTGTTTTCTATATTAGCTTTAAAAGCATGAGTGGATTTCCTTCACAATGATCAGAAAAGATATTCCGCATTTTTTTTTGATAGTAAGTACCTATATGATATCTTTGAGCATATTCTCATATTACGCTAGCTATCTCAACCTTTCGATTATTTGTATGGAGCTATTGCTAGTCGATTGGTTGATTTTAATCTGAAGCCTGCGATGGAAACTCTCAAACGGGGCGGAAGACCATTGATATAAAGACCCGTACTTCTCCAATACCTCCATTATACATGGTCGAAAAACCGCCAAATGAGTAAAGGACACGTCTTAGTTGCTCATACACTAACATGGCATTTCATTGTAAACACTTCTGGTGCAAGCTCCGACGATATTTGCCTGGTTCCCCTCGCCGCAGACTGCGCAATCCTTATGATGTCAACGTTTAGCGACTTGCACTGGGCCATGGTTCAGGACCAATAGCCCAATATCGAAGTCGAGCTACTGGAGACGAGATCATTCCACCGGTCACTACCAGTGAAAAAATGACAAATGCCAGCTAAAAGTCTAATTACAGAATCTCTGTTTGTATACGCCAAAACTGCACTTAATTCATATGGGCCATTCTTCGTTCCAAACATACTCGTATCATCCCTACAGACAGATATGGTGAATATATGGCAACCTCGTCGATTTCGGCCGCTTTACAGGTCTTCAGATCTTCCCGACAAAATAATAAAATTCGAATAAGTGTGAGAAGACAGTTCCCTGAGTCATGTCTTCAGCAGTTCGGTGTTGTGATCATTTAAGCGGAGGTCCGGAAATCTGGACGCCGCATTGAACATGTCTGTAGAAGATACGATTACAAAGCTGAATGAAGTCTCAAAGATTGACCTCTCAGCCTGTCCCTCGTTACACCTTTGGGGCAAATATGTAAGGAATTTGAAGAAAATGCGCACCGTAGCATCACCCTCATGACAGGGGTCATCTCTAAATACTCAGTTTAAGCAGTGAGGCTTGCTTGCATGAAGGAATGCGACGTACGCAAAATCCCAATCTGTCCGTAATTTTGCGCATCCTGCGCGAACGACTCTGGACTTCGGAGCGATGTTATTTCGTCCGGATAGGGCAACCAGATGCGCTGACGACCCTGCACGAGTCCTTTCAAGCCACATTCTGAGCATCCATAACTAGGTTCCAGGTCGGTACTCCGTAGAGAATCTTTTGTGCCTGAGTTGTAACATATCTCTTCTATTCAATGTCATATAAGCAATGTCTTACAGCCATGTCGGCTATTCCGCGGTAAAGAGAGACATCTAGCGTCCATACGGTGCCGTTTATGTTCACTTCCATAGGTGTGTCGCGCAGAACGCTTATCTCTGACTCCAGCCTATATGTCGCTTATAGCATCAAACAAATGATGGCAGGTTTCATTTGCTAAATAGCTTCTCCATCATCAAATCTGTAGGTTTTACAGGAGTACATAGTATGCCCGCAGGGAGTTGTGGACATTGTCCCCTTCAGCTCTTGATACATTTTCGAGACGCAGGTAAAGGGGCCATATTTCGCGACTGCAAATCGACTATGTTGACAGTCTCTAGCGAATGATTCAAAGCAGTACCGCGGCAAGCGTTTGGGGATAAATCCATCCATAGATAACGACAGCAAAATTCGCAACCGATGAGCGCGAATTTATTGGCAGTTTCTATGGCTTCTCGAAAACCGGGGAACAAGTGTATAGAAAAAACAAAAGGAAAGAAGGCAAGGACCAACAACTATATGGAAAAGTATTGATAAAAAAAAACTAAAAAAAGGAACATCCGTTTCGTTCCTACCCTTAAACGGATACCAAATAGTTAGTGAGCCCTCCCCGGAACTCATCAGTGAGGAGGGAGGGCTTTAGTTAGTAAAATAATAATAAAAAACTCACCTTATCCTTGTCCAGTCGAAGAGTCCATTGTCGGTGGCGAAGGGGCGAAGATGACAGAAATCGCATTCCGTACCAACTGCCTGCAAATAAAATGATACTCAGCCAAGTTTTAGCGCGTCATAAAATGTGATTTCTACGGCTGCGTTCATACTGATCCCGAAGTTCGGGAATAGTTCCAGCACAGCGCTCGAACTGAGCGTTGTGCTGGAACTGTTCCCGAACTTCGGGATCAGTATGAACGCAGTCTACGCGGCCATATGTTGCGTCATTGTTGGATTGGAGCAGAGCATCGATCAATACCGACATTGACCTCCAAAAAGCAGTGTGTGGAATGTGAATACTTGTGTATATGTATGTCGTGAATGTATCTGTATAAGTGTGTGTGTGTGTAAGCGTGATTATGTGTTCGTATATGTATGTGTATGTGTACTTGTATCTGTATGTGTATGTATGTGTGTATGTGTATTTGTATCTGTATGTGTATGTATGTGTGTATGTGTATGTGTGTGTATGTATATGCATTTGTGTATGCGTAAGTGTATGTGTATGTGTATGTGTATGTATATGTGTATGTGTATGCGTATATGTGTATGTGTATGTGTACGTGTATTTGTATGTGTATGTGTGTGCATGGTGTCTATGCGTGTATATGTGTATGTGTATAAGTTTATATGTTTATGTTTGTGTGTTTTTTCTTGTGTGTGTGTATAGATGTATGCATGTATGTATACGTTTTTTTGTGGTACGTGGAAAGATTCTACTAAAACTCTCCTAATGGTACTTAAAATGGTTTTATTACTATCTATCAGATTATGTTTACAGAAGATATAACTATTTTTATTGATAAGCTTAGTAACGCAAGCAAGAATAGTCAATTCGTTATAACCATTGTACTTAAGTATGCTTTTCAACCGACGTATTCTGTCAAGGAAATCCTCAAATTCTGAACATGTTCTAGCTATTCTTACATACTCTGTATATATAGTCGCTAATTTAATCTTGTTCGATATACATGAACCTGCATTGAAATCTAATCTCTTGACATGAAAATCGAATCATCAGTTTTGTTATACATTTTAGTAGTTATGCAATTGTTGTGTATAACTATTTGGAGATCTAAGTAATTGCAATGTTTATCATCCATGTTAGTAGATTCTATTAGGTTGTCCCATAAGTCTTTTCATTTTTGAATTTTCGCTATAATAAGTCACACACTTCTTACTCTAAATAGACATCAGGATAACATTCGATAGAGCAAAGCAAGCTCTATAAGATGGCGTTTACGCTTTCGCACAAGCTTTGGTCTATCTCGAGTTCTAAACCAAAATCTAAAAAGTTTCGGATGGCCAAAAAACCGAAATTTTTTTATATCTTCGTTCAAAAAAATCCTACAAACCTCAAACTTGCTCACGTATAAATATTTCACATCAGACATTCATATGTGCTGTTGCTGCATTTTTTTATCAGCTAGAAATCAAGAAACCGAAAATTTTCATGTTTTTACCAAAGTGATGCTGTACTGTTCTTACACTGACAGTTGTATACTACAAGCCCTTAGAAGTACAACTGTAATTTTTTAGCTTTATATAAGCTTTGGTTCCCGAGAAATGTTGATTTAAGCGTGAAAAACCCAAGTGAAAAAAGCTAAATTTGATATTTCTCGTGAAGAGCATATAGAGAGCCAAAAATCTACTGCAGTACTTCTGAGGGCTTCTACTATGCAATTGCTTGTACAAGAACAGCACAGCATCACTTTGGTAAAAACATGAAAATTTTCGGTTTCTTGATTTCTAGCTGGTAAAAAAATGCAGCAACAGCACATATGAATGTCTGATGCGAAATATTTATACGTGAGCAAGTTTGAGGTTTGTAGGATTTTTTTGAACGAAGATATAAAAAAATTTCGGTTTTTTGGCCATCCGAAACTTTTTAGATTTTGGTTTAGAACTCGAGATAGACCAAAGCTTGTGCGAAAGCGTAAACGCCATCTTATATAGCTTGCTTTGCTCTATCGAATGGTATCCTGACGTCTATTTAGAGTAAGAAGTGTGTGTATTATAGCGAAAATTCAAAAATGAAAAGACTTATGGGACAACCCTAATAATTTTAGCTGTTGTTCATATACATTACTTAAAAGCAATTCGAAATCCATATCTGACAAGGGAAACCACTTAACTTAGGTCGGGCTTTTGAAATGTGACACATATATTTAGAATCAGCTCGGAACGCTGATTCCAAATCTGCTATCCTTAGCTGCGAAGCGTTTCTCTGAAGCGAGTTATGAGCCTTTTTAGTATGTGTCATTGACATACAACTGAATATGGAAAGAAGGTCTTTAGATGAAAATCTGCCCAAAAAGTGGTGGAAAGTCAAAATAACATCAAATTGAGTCATTTGGCTTTGATAGAGTATAATATGCATTTGAACCACTACCTAGATGACGATACCGTAGCATGCCCAAGTCGGTCAGCACGCAAAATTTGCTCACAAAAAGGCTCATGGCTCGCTTCAGAGGAACGCTTCGCGGCTAAGGAAAGCAGATTTGAAATCAGCGTTTCAAGCTGATTCCAAGCGTTTGTGTCTCATTTGAAAATCCCGACCTAAGTTAAGTGACTTCCCTTGTGAGTTATATATTATAAGTATATCATTCACATATCTAAATGGGTGAATATTCAGGTTATAAGTAATGTTATTTTTGGAAAATTTGTATTCATACCAAGCTAATGTAAGATCTGCAAGTAGTGGACTGCAGCTACCACCTTGTGGAACACCTACCTTTTGTTTACGTATTAGATTACCAAATTTACAATAGCTATTATCTAGTAAGTAATCTATTAAGTAAAGTAAATCTGTGATGCGATAGAATCTCGTACGTGAGTTACTACTAGTATCTGAATCTGTTTAATATATTCTGTTGTTTATAGGCTATAAATTGTTTATTTGCATTTTTGTAGCATAATACTAGTATTTCTTTGAGATTATTTTTTATAACGTTATGAGGTAAGTTGGTAAACAAGTTTGTAAAATCTGCAGAAAAAAGTTTCACATTAGTCTGTCTCAGGTTTATTAACTTATTACTAATATTAATATCATCTATAGCCCAGTAACCAATGAAATTCATGTTACGAGTTTTGATTGCTTGTACATAATTTATGGAATGTTTCTTGACAAAGCTAAGAATTAGTTTGAGTTCTATTGCTAAAGGTTTAATACTACTATGAGTTGCTCCTGTAATGAATCTGAACTTTACTGGAGTTGTATGTCGCTTCTGTTGCCGGCGTCGGCCTGATGAACGACTATTATACTACGGACATGAAAGTGTAGAAGTCCTACAAATCAGTACCTCGGAATGATGCAGCATGCCATGAAAACCGATGATTTTCTCTATTCGGGTACTTATAAGATTTGTCAGCTGCGGCACTATATTGATCACATGCAGCTCGGTCCTCTGGACAGATTTTGCTCTTTTGATATCTGCTCTGCAAATTAGTACTACTAAGCAACTGTGAACTTCACACTGTATCACCTACCTATACAACGCACACCCTACGTTTTCACAAAAACTTCTCCATTCTCGGAGAGAATTTCCGCACGCGCTACAAAAAAGTATCGCTTTCTTTTGAACCCGTCCAAAACATTTCCATTTCCATTTCCAGATAGTACCGTGACTGGGGGTAGTCTGCCATATAGAACTTCCATCAGGTCTTCAATGCGTTTAACTTCCTCTTCGGACAACCCGAAATGGATTATGAAAAATGCGTAATACTGTATCCTTTCCTGGAGAGCTGTAAGTAAGAGATTAGAGTATTTTGATCCTCCGCTTAATAGATCCGATTGCTTACACAAATGATGTGAAATGGCCTGAGTTTCTGCAGTATCGGGAGAGGTCGATGCTCAAAGTACTGCTCCGAAAAGGATTGTCCGACCTGCCCCTCTAGAACCTTCAAAGTACAAAGCAAAGCTGGGCGGAACTGATTACATCTGTTTGTTTTTTGTTGCCATGCGTTATTTTTTGTTCTGCGTTAAGTTTGTGTCTCAGTTTAGAACAAAATCTTTTCTTCAACGACTCCAATTCCCGGTTCTGCTGTCGCTCGGATCGTGGTGCTAGACGCAATGTCTGGGTGTGACTGGTCCCGGCTACCCTCTAAGCGTGTAAGTTTGCAAACTAGCGACAGCTGTGGCAAGAATCTTGTGACATGACTGCCGACGCTAATTCAGAAAGTGTTCGACAGCCCACGAAGCCAATTAAGTAGACGTATTATATATGTGGCCCAAAGACAGTTGCTCCTCATAAACTGTGATCAAAACTGCAAAATTTTGCCCCTAATCAAAAACACGTCTGATGCTCTCTCTTCCCAATAGCCCGTCAAGGCTCTTTCAACGCGAAATGGTTAGTCGTTATCTTCCAACCAAATGTCACATTGTTACTATGCCTCAAAATTGACGAATGCAGATTTCGAGATTGAAAAACTAGCCAACCCGATATACACAACTTCGTCTATTATGAGCGAAAAAGTTTACTCGACTTTATCGCGGTTGAGGACGAGGTTGTCAAGACAAGCTGGAATTCGTCTTCGGCAAAAAAAAGCAAAGGGGATATCGTTTTTGCGGGGTCCAGAGCGAAGCCCCGAAAAAAATGGTAGTTTATGCCCTCTGCTTATTTTAATATGTTATGTGCCTCAACAGACGAACACTGGAGTTCGCGCGCGTCAAACCGCGCCGTCGCTAGTTGCCGCACACGCGACGTCGCTCAAACGATGCTATTTGTAACAGCATACATGACTAGTTCTCAATCGTGACGATATGACACCAAATTTTGTAAGCGAACGGAGGGAGGCTAGTGGAAACAAAGTATGAAAAATTATAAAAAACTTATGTGAACCGGAACGAGTAATGAGCATTTTTTCCGAAAATTTTGCAAAATTGGTAAATGAAGATGCGAGTTGAAATGGCTCGTTTGCAACGAGCACATGACGATATGGTATGAAACTTGGTAAGTATGTGGACACAAGCCTGTAGGAGTTAAATTAGGAGTTTCATTGAAAAATTATGTGACTGAAGGTTGT